ACAAATAGTTGTAGATGTCGGGGTATTTCACGTTGGGCCGTTCATTTGTATCATTTCTCAAACAAAAGGAAGGTTAGGAAAAGGGACACTGAAATAGACAAATAAAATTTAGTTTCTTAATATATCTTCTCTCAGATTCACATAGGGTGGTGAAATAATCCTTTGACATGGTTAAAAATAATGAATGTTTCCTGTCGTTCCCTCTAGTGGGCGCAGTTCTCAAAGTAATATGACACATTGCGCTCTACTTTTGTGTCCTAAACGCTCGTTTTTTGGGTCGACAGCTTATAAAAACGTAGTTCTGGGTTTTTTAGCTTGTTTGCTGTACACCTTGTCACATAGCAGCTTTTAGGCATTGTTTTTGTTATAAGTCAGGAGGCGTGTGGGCGTGGCCTAAATGCGCTCTGTCTCTTTTGTGTGCTGTTGCATGTTCAGCTTCTCCACCCTCCACACTGAACCCCTTATGGATCCAGAGTGGGGTAGTGCTATCGAGGCCTCCGTTCAGATGACTGCTACCTGGCCTGGCCCCGTACCAATAAACACTACACCAGCTACAATGTGAAGTTTTTTTTTTTTTTTTACACCTGTATTTTGAATTTTGCGCAGCATTGCATTGTACTTCAGGGTTAACGGGAATGTAATAAGTTATGACGTTAAAACTGATTACCACAATAATTCAAAACAACCCCACCTACTGTTACAAAAACAGACTATAAAAACTGCGTTCATTCTGCAAAAATGGCTATAATTACGAGCTTGATCATTATGTATTAGCAAGTATTTTCTACTTCTGGTGTAGACTTATTGACATGACACAGAATGTGCTAAAGCAGTAAACACATCATCCTCAAATTAAAAAGTAAAAAAAAGTAAAGGTATTAATGCTAATAGTAGACTATACAGTTCAGGAACAATAAAATATGATAAATTATTAATATTAATAATAATAGACACAGTTATGTCTCTTTGTAGATTTTTAGCCACACCCTAAAAGACTGACAGCGACAATAAGTCATAAAACTTGATTTAAAACAAAAATATTTTTAGATCTAAAGAGATTTACTTGTGATTTTTTATGGTGATTTATATTGTATTTCACTACAACAGTAACCAATAGGCCTAAGCTTATATTGCCATTGGTCTTGAGATACAAGCAAATTATAGGATAACATCAAGTGCGCATTTTCTGTTTCCGGTTTATATTGAAACCGAAAGTGTTGAATTAATGAAAAAAAAATGAATGTGACTCACCCTCTACGAGCAATAAAACCCAAAAAAAGAAATAACGGTTCCTCATATTGATGTCGCTTCTGAAAAGCATCCGAATTGAATGATATAATCCAGTGATGCAGGGTATTGTTGATGGCTGGAGTTTAACCGTCCAGGTCACGTGATTTCTGCGAAAGCGTGAGTTACGTCATTCAAAGCGGTCCACATCCACGGCGAAAAACGCTAGGCTATCTCGAGCTCAAGTAGTTTCTTCTTAGATGTTTTATGGGGTTGGCAAACCAGCTTAAAATGTGCATTTACCGCCACCAGCTGGACAGGAGTGTGAAATATTGACCGGGAGTTGAATAGACATGCGAATCACGTGAAACCGAGTTTTACATTTTCTTGCATTTTTGAAAGAATTAAAAAAATATATCTAAACACCATTTCATTGTCAGTAAATAAGAAATGTTCAATTTGCAATGGCTTTAATTTGTATACTGTAGCCTAATTGATAGTTAAATGTCTCATGGTCTTATGTTCTGCCTTCTGTCTTTTCCTACTTTTCTTTCTTTTGTAATCCTTAAACAGATCATACTTCTCTGTATTCAGTTAACATCATGTGTATTGTTTATACATTGTGTGTTATACAAAACTATTTATTTTGAATATTTCTGTAATCTTTCCTTGCATTTAAAAAAGAAAGAAATTTCTATTTTTATTTTGTTAACCTGGTATAGTATTGTATCTCTTTTTAAATTATCCCTTAAATTCTAATTAATTTAATTAATAATTAATTTATGCATTTAGCAGACGCTTAAAGCAATTTACAGTGCATTCAGGCTATACATTTTTTACCCACGACCTTTTGCACTGCTAACGCAATACTCTACCACGGAGCCACAGGAACATTGTAAAAGTTGTAATACTTATTTGGGGGTTGTCTATCTATCTATCTATCCATCTATCTATCTATCCAGATTTAGCTGAAATTGGATGGATGGATGGATGGGTGGAAGAAAAATAATGCAGAATGTCATGACAAAGTGATGAATTAAATGCTAGCAGGGAATAAATAACAGAATTTAAAATGAGTTAGAGTTTAAATAAGTTTTTTAAGAGCATTAAGGGTTAGTTTGTGTCTGCTGAGATACTGTCAAACATCTCTAGAGGATGTGGTCTATAAGTGACAAAACTAAAGTTTACCCAGTATGAATTGATAAGTGAAAACAACACAAACATAGAATTAAAGTGTAAACTTAAGTCAAGTTAGTTCCATTAAACTTTATTTGTGAGGTTTGGAAATAGGGAGAAGTTCTTTGTAATTCTCTAGACAGGGCCTAACATCAGTGAATAGAAGATGTTAAAAAAAAAGCAAGAATTGAGATATGAGAATCATGCAGATATTAGCTTTAGATCAAAAAACAGATATCCATTTAAGATTATTTACATATCTTGATTATTTGCATATCTGGTACAGAATCTTTATCTTAAAACAACTCTAAACATGATTACTGGTCTTTATTTGAACTATTAGAATTTAAAGTGATAAAAACAGTGTGAAATTTGAAGCTAAAGACTACACCAACACGCACACATTCACATACAAATTGTGTGAATTTTATATAGTTTTAGATAGTTTTGTTTACTGTGTGGAGACCTGCTGAAATCGCGTTTGGTCTCATACTGTATCGCGTACCTTGTCAGTGTCGTGTGCTTTGCTTGGCCATTTGTTGTGATAAACAGGAAAGTGTGTCCAGCTGAATTGAATTTGAGTTTTGTTAGATGAATATAAAAAGCGTAGTATACCGCGGCAGCCCTCGTGTGAAG